AAATATCGTAATACATCAAAAAGAAAACACGTACGAGAAGAAAGAAAACCAGTTTGTTTCATAAAATAAGGATTATTTTATTGTGTTTTCAGTCTCATATTTTTCCATAAGCATGAAACATTATCGCATACATGATAGTGATTTAACGTAAAATACGTCATTGTCAAAAAAAAAAAAATGTCTAGTTTATGCAAATAACGCGTATATAACACAATACTTTTATCTTTATTTTTATTTTTTTTAGTTTAGTAAAACTCTGACGAACGTAACATAGTATCTGCGCACTTAAAGGTTAAACAGCTGATACTGGCAACTCGCCAATTCTTGTGAATGTCGCGTGCCTGTCGTTCGCCCATTCACTATCGGACAGCGATATCAATGGAAAAATCCATTTCGCTGATTTGATGTCTCATCGGAATTTACTGCAAAACAACCTCAACTGTTTCGTAATGTTTGCGAGTGACAAATAGACAGCGGAATTTTTGATATGTCATCAATATAAATAGCAGAAATAACAATAAATGCAAAATAATATCGTGATATTATTTTCGACCATTGTGCAATTTTAACGCAGAGGAAGAAGAAGATTAAAAGCTGACCAGAGCTACGATATTATATTTTGATATTTCAAGCTTGTTTTTTGTACACGTCGCGCGCTGAGATAATGCGCCGCATATGCATTATTCATAGGGTTGAAAATGCAATTTTCTGGCAGTTCGAATCCGAATCGTCATACGTCATGCCTCAAGTAATTGCGCACGAGGGTTTGTTTCCGGCAAACCATGTGGTAATTTTGTTCGAGGAGAGATTGATAACCGCCGCGATAAAGAATACATTCGGATTGTATTTCCAAGTATACAGTCGTGTCTCTCGTTTCGACGCGCGATGGCACGCCGGCTAAATCCTGCCGTGCACAACGTCCAAGTCATTAGACGAGACCAATAAAAATCGGAATACATACATATTACTAGTGTGATGCTCTGGGTGGGCCGCTTCTCTCATTAACTTCGACAGATCCATCTACGCTTGTCGTGTTTGTTTTTTTGTTTAGTTTTTTATTTTTTGTTTTTTTATTTTTTTTTTTCATCCGACCTGATTTTCCTCGTAAACGATTATCTGATACCGTTTCTACGAGCTCGGAGATACATCACACTTCGTTGCATTATGAATCATTACCTCATTATCTGACGGAATAAGTAATCTTTGCGATGCGCATTTGTATAAATAGGAGAATTTACGGTTGCGCGTCACTTACTACATTATCGAACTCAGTCAATGTCGAGTTACAAATCGAAGTGTAGTCTCTCCTCGGAATATCATGTATCGACTTGTTTGTTTTTCTCTTGTGCATTGAATAACATAATTTATTCCGTTATAGTTTAATTATTGTTATTATATATTTTATTCAAATACATTGTTCGTTAAACAGTTTTTCTGTACAATATGAAAAACCCAAAGACTGGTATTTTTCCGAGTAAATACCGGAAAATCGGCTGGGATAATAGCGCGTTTGTAAATCTCTGAGGCCGGTCTGAGGCAAAGATAACGAGCAAAGATGTTTACGTAGAGTTTGCTTCTTCGCGGCATATACTTCGTGGACCTTCGGTTAAGTTTGTCCGTAGAAGAAAAGTTCGCTTCTGTCGTCGTGGCTCCGTGCCGGCAACCGACTCAACATGCCAGACTCGACCTCGAAGATCGGTCGTTTTTAAAAAGACAACGACTACAACCGAGCGATTGTTTAAATCCTCTAACGATTGTTCAACTCGTTAAGGATCCATTAGGGACTTCGGAGACTCGGTAGATCGCGCAAATTTTCTGTCTCTCGGAGTGTACCAGAGTATCTTTCTCTTTCTCTCTTACGCTTCCTGGGGACGTTAGCGGTGGCAAATTAATTCAAGTTTTCCCATCCCGGTTGGTTGTAGTTAAGTTTTTGCTAACGGCCGTTCTTTCCACGGAAAATTTTCCCGTAGCCCATAATAGCTATATATATATAGTATATATATATTGTTAGATGTTTAAAAGCTTTTTAGTTTGTTACATCGCCGAGTAAATCTCTGTTATTATTGGAAACTGCGTTTGCTCGGCGGATTATATGTAGATTAACAATCTGGAAGAAGTGCTAATGGATATAAGTAGATTAGATAGATAGATGGATGACTTGTTTGAAAAGAGGAGAAAAGAGAAAAATGGGGAGAAATGCTTGAGCAAATTTTTCTTGCTGAATATTAATAGAAAATTGCAGAACTGGTTTAATATATATGATAATATGTGTGTATGCATACATAGAAAAATATAAAATTTCTACAATATACTACTAACAAAATAAAATATTGTCAATTTGTTGCTTCGTGACTACTTAATTTGTTTTTATATTATAGCAACACAAACATATGGTTAGTTTTTGTATATAATTAATTAAGGAGAATTTTAACGCGTATAGTTTTTTTTTCTCATTATATAAAATATTATTTAAGAGTTCCTCTTATTAGTAATTACGTGAAATATATCAGTGTTTACTATACCCTCGGGTGGAAAAAAAAAGTTTCAGTTGATAAATTGGAGAAACTGAGTTTTTCGTTGCTTTGAGCGTGCGCACTAATTAATCCGTAGTTTCATGCATGTTTGACTTTCTTGACTACCGTAACTCGTCGCGGAAATCAAAAGATGTCTCTATCGGCCTCGGCGAGATCTGCGATGCAAACTGCCGAGAGCAATTAACACATTCGTTAATTACCGTTTTAACCGACGTCAAGGTGCGTGTCGCTCCTTCTTAACACAATGGGAATTCATGAAGAAAGGCACGCGTTTCGTTCATCAGATACGAGAGAAACTACCGGTAGTTTAGCGTGTGTGCAATAGTTGGCGTGCGCGTCTCCATTCCGCACCCGAAGATGCAACATTTCTAGAACATTGACACGTCAAAGAAAGTATTCGTGGTATTTCAATACATATTGAGAAAGTTTCTAACTACATAAATTGTACATGAATAAAACGAGCTAGGCTTGTATGCAACTTGGATATTTCTTCGACGGCGATGTTCTTTTCTAATGTGCATTCTTGCGTTATAAATAATTTCTCTTACGGAGTCGCATGTTCGCGGGCGATTCGATACTTATCAGTGCACGTGTCACCTGATCTACTTTCTTTTTGTTCGCGCGATCGTTACTCGTACTGCTTACTCACCGCGAATGGCTCATACAATCACGCGAACTTGGTTATCTTTTCGTTTATTTTTTTTTGTTTTTTGTTTTGTATAGCACGAGCACTTTTGTACGATAATGGACTTTCTGATTTGTCATTTAATGAATAATGCGTATCGCGTCAGACGACGATATTGCAACGAGAGATGTGCTGCAAAATTATGTCGCGCTCAGAAAGAAACAGATCGATGAAATCTATTGATCGTTTTGTACTTTTCCCGAGCGAACACGAGAACTTGTATAAGTGTTTTCGAAGTATGAGGTTTCAACTTCACACCGCGCGCGTAGCGTATTGCTTGCTTGTTTTTACAGCCGACGAAGTGTGCGATATTCTACGATATTTTTTCGAGAATATATATATATGTGTGTGTGTGTGTGTGTGTGTGTGTGTGTGTGTGTGTGTGTGTGTGTGTGTGTGTGTGTGTACGTTGCAGATTCTATGTCAGAAGAAACCGATAGATAAATCATTTCGCTTACTATTGCGACTTAATCTGTAGGTCACATTGTATGGAAATTTATACAAGATTTTTGCATCCAGATGTTAGTAATTTTTCTACGAAGCAATGCGCTATAATATCAAGCAAAATCAGTGAGAGGTAATTCAGTAGGGAAGGAAGGAGAGAATGAGAGACAGAGAAAGAGAGAGAGAGAGAGAGAGAGAGAGAGAAAAAAAAAGAGGAGAGGAAAAATAGATCTTTCTTTGAGAAATAAGAAAACTTTTGTTTCCGATCGGCCATTACCCTCCGCGTTGCGATAAGAGACTACAGAGAAACGATTGCCGTCTTCTTTTCTCCCCTTTTGCTCGCTCTTCCTTTCGACCACCCTTCGCTTTTCCCAGCACGCTCTCTCGTCCCGGAGAAGTCGGCTGTTTCATTTTCTTAAGAGGGGGCCCGAGATGCGCTCGGGAAGGGCGACGTTTCAAAGGCACCTGGTTTTTCCTCGCTCGATAAATCGCACATTCTTCCCTTTTCCCTTCCCATCTCGCTGCTTCCATGGCCTCGTTACTTTCGGTTTGCTACATTTCGCGTTCGTCAGTTTCTCCAAATACACGAACTTCCAAGCGATCAGTAAGGGGAAACACCCCTGAACGCATAGAAATGCTTACATTCCATTAACGAGACGTCATTTAAATGTCTTTGACGTTGTATTACGCGTTTGCACGTTCGCTGCGAGTCGGGAAGTTTTAATTCTTACTCACGGTACGCGTTTACAATCTATTTTTTTTTTTTTTTTTTATCCTTTCTCTATGCAAATGTATATGTTTTATATATTTTTCTACTGTTCAAAAAAATGTAATTTAAAGTATTCGTGCTATTATCTTTTTTTTATTAATTTTTATGATTTCTATCGTGACCATAGTTAGCAATAATTGTTTCGTGTCGTTGCGCTAATTACACCTTTTCCTTCGATCGAAAGTGGATTATATCGCGTGCAAGAAGTACTCTCACCTTGAGTCTCACCGAAGAGATAATCGTTGCAATTATGCATGGCAAATGCTATCTCATGCGTGTAACGTCTCGCTCTTCGATGCTGCAGATAAAAATTTCAAAAAAAAAACCGTTCTAAGAAAACTAAAGACGTTACAATATTTATCTCAATAACATCTTGTCTCCAAGTATCGCTTGTAGTTTTGAATATATCATTCGAGATAATTAATCAGCGACTCGATTGTTTATTTTTCAGGCCTGGGCGAGGCTCGAAGAAGAGGCCACCTCCGCCAAGATCGCCGGGCAGCGCGGAGGAGGAGGAGGAGGAGGTGGTGGTGGTGGTGGTGGAGGAGGAGGAGGAAGAGGGAGGAAAAGGAAGAAACCACGACGGAGTCCGTTAGTGTGAAAGTAGAGTAGGCATGTTGTCAGTCTTCCCGGCAGCGACGACGGGGACGATGAAAGCGGCGCGGTCGGTGACATCGCAACCGCGTCAACGATGTTGGAGTCGTCCGCTGCTGATCTTGATTCTGACGTTGTCGGTGTCATCTCACTTGCCGACGGCGCGCTCGGTGCCGACCGACATTATACAAAAATTCCACGATCCGGAGGTAGAGCGCATGAATCACCTGGTGGTGGACAAAAACACCGGTCGGGTGTACGTAGGCGCGGTGAATCGGCTCTATCAGCTGTCGCCGGACTTGGTGTTTGAAGAGAAAGCCATCACCGGACCGCAAGGCGATTCCACGGCGTGCTCGATGTTAGATTGTCCCCGCGAGGCACAAAAACGATTGATCGACAACGTGAACAAGGCATTGGTGATAGATTACACAACTACGCGGCTCATCTCATGCGGTAGCCTGTTCCAGGGTATGTGCACAGTACGTAATCTGCACAACATATCCAATGTGGTACAAGAGGTGAGAGAAGCGGTCGTGGCAAACAACGCTACTGCATCGACTGTCGCGTTTATTGCACCCGGCCCGCCGAATCCGCCGGTCTCTCAGGTCATGTATGTCGGCGTGACCTTTACCGGTAATTCGCCCTATCGCTCGGAAGTTCCGGCGGTGAGCTCGCGTTCCCTCGACAAGGACAAGATGCTGAATATCGCCGAGGCGGCTGTCACTACCGGCACCCGGATGTACGTGAACTCTTTGTCGCGCGAACGTTATCCGATTAATTACATCTACGGCTTCAGCAGCGGGGGTTTTAGTTATTTTCTCACGACGCAAATGAAGAACACGGAAACGCCGATTTATCTGTCAAAACTGGTGCGCGTGTGCCATGACGACGAGCATTATTATTCGTACACCGAGATACCGATCAATTGCACCAGCGACGAGCGCAACTACAACCTCGTGCAAGCCGGCTACGTCGGCAAAGCTGGTTCGGTGCTCGCCGGTGACTTGGGCATCACTGCCCAGGATGACGTGCTTTTCGCCGTGTTCTCCGAGAGCGACGGGCCCAACAGCGACGTGCCGCAACCTCACTCGGCTCTGTGTGTCTACTCGCTTAAGGCGATTCGCCGCAAATTCATGAGCAATATACAGAGATGCTTCAGCGGCGAGGGACAGCGAGGGCTGGAGTTCATCTCGCCGAGCCACAAATGCATATCAACGGTGAGTCAATTTGAACAGCTTAATTTAGTCATCACCGTGTCGCTTTCCTCGCGTACGTAATCGCGGAGTTGTCACCTGATATCTTGCTTATTACGTGTGTATAAGAAAAAAACAGAGAAAAACACACATATATCTTACATTTAGATAAAATTATCAATGAATTGTCGTTGAGACAAATTACTGAACGTAATTGAAACACGTATTTCGAAATATCTATTTACAGACAGGCAGAGTAAAATGCGTGATTTTGAATTGACCTATCAGAAATTTACAGCTAAGTTTAAAGCGTACCATTACTCGCCGAAACCTCTCGTTACTTTGTTCATTCTCGTTTCGAGCTCGCGATGGATTGATAGCTCGTTTAAATGAATTGATATCTCGCGCGCGGCTGTTGTTGCCGGGCAACAGTAATTCGCGGAAGGCGCATACTTTGCCCGTACGGTATTTGATAGCTCGGGTATCGCAAGGGTATCACAATGCCATCGCTAGCCGGAATTATTATAACCACACGGCGTGGCGCGCATCACGGTCGGAGCTTTCTGTTGTCGAGCGGTCTGAATGGCCGTCAGGTGAAAAGACCACCTCCCGTCGCAAGACGGACGCGATTCGTCCTCCTCGATTATTACGACGCGAATCAATCGGCCGCGTCTTGCGGGCACAAGGCTTAGGTTTATCTGTCTCTCTCGCTCGCATTTACGTAACAGGTGGCGTCGAAAAGCTTGAAAGAGGTAAGATGCAGGAAGACCGGTGCCGAGCCGCGGCACACAAAGCGCCATATGCTCTTTCTATACGCACGCGCGCCATTTGTGCGCGCGCGAATAAACGCGAGACTTGCGCGCGCGCGCAAGAACAATCTTCCTCTCCGCTGCGCATCCGCCTACGTAGAATTGCTGCACCGCGGATGTATCGCGTATATTCGCATTGAGAAATCGCGAAAGACTTATTATCGCGCGCGTATTAACTTTCAGAAACGGTATTATAATTTCGTGCACATTATGATCCGTGAAAATGTTATTATATTTATTTTATTACCGTGTGCAATTTGTTAAATTTTACGTTTAATACGCGTGTATGTATTTGTTTCAAATCCAGTCGATCGGAAATACGCGTGACGATATTGTTTTGTTTATTTATAATCGCGTAATTAACATTATTTGCAATTAAAATATTTATTGAAATCCGCAGCGATTGTAAACAAAGTGATTGCTACATGTATAAGCGGACAATATGTATGTATAGGATGTTTCGTAATGAAACCGATATAAACTTTGCCGCCGGTTTGTTTCCAGAGTTTGTTCTAAGCAAAAATATTTATAGGAATTACAAATGGATCGATTTTTGACTATATATCGGGGAGTTTATATATGCGCTTGTATATTACATATATATATATATTTATATATATATATATACGTTATTCTAGGTACACTAGTATGTTTCAGTATCGACAGAAAGAAACAAAAAACAATTTTACATAAACATGGATGAATGGATGCTTTATTCAAAAGTTGTATTGAAACTATTTTTTCGCTTCTTTTTCCAATACACACACCCACTCACACATACACGCACGCACGCACGCACGCACGCGCGCGCACACACACACACAAAGCAATGAAAATGCATATAGCTGTTTGCTGTACCAGGTTTTTTTTTATTCACAATCCCTGAGACTGTCGCGATCGATCGCTGTTGCTCAGCGGTTAACCAAAACTCGTAGAAACAGCGATGAGTCTTTTGTGTTTTGCTGATAGCTTTTGATACGTCATATATATATATATACACACATACACACACAGACATACAAAATATTTTTGCGTGCATATATAGATTCTATATATAGAGATTTTAACCTTTGCCAGACATAAAAAATGACCTACGAGTTGTCCAGACTGGGTCTGTGAGATCCACGCGACCTTTGAGTTTGAATATCTCCGCAAAACGGAATAATTTTTTAATTTCCTTTTTTTAAATAGAAAATTTAAACGATTCTGCGTCGATGAAAACAACAAATTGAAAAGATCTTCCTAGTAGTTTCAAAGGAACGCAGAAACTTTTGAAACGTTTCTGCGCGTCATGACCTAATAAATCGCTATAAATGTACAAATATTTTCATAAAATTATGAAAAAAACCAACAATTTTGTACTATATTAGAAGTGCACGGACTAAAAAAAACATTTACTTAATTTTCGAAATGCCAACGTCTTGTCCAGACTCTCTCTCTCAGATCCTTTTCGCACTTAAAAATTCAAACTTCGCAAAGCTATTCAACGAAGGACGCTGTCAACGATTCCTACCATTGTCTAAGGCCTTAAAGTTATTTTTCATGGCCTTTAGAGATGTCGCGCTATATTAATACCTAGTAAAGACACTAATTTAAAACTTTTGGGTGGATCTCGGAGACCTATATCTGGCACTGAAGAATTACAATATTGAGATTTTCTATGAAACAATTGGATAACAAGTGAATAACAAATACTAAATGAAAACTTTGCTCGCGCGCGCGCGCGAAAACAAGTTTTCGACACAACTCTAATATTATTACTTCCTATAAAAAAAAAACAGTTTCAATTCTTATCGAGAGTAGAAAGTTAATTTCAAAGCGATCGTGGAAAAAAATTCGGTAAATAAAGAGAAAATTCGCGTCGCAGAGCTTCATGCATACTTTCAGCGAATTGATTTCACACGGATACGCAATTTCGACTGAATTTCACGATTCATGCTCGTCTCAATAAACGATTGCGAGGCACGTCTCTCCCTACAATACAAACGATATCGCGAAGTCACCGTACGAAAGCGAGTGAAACGGATTCGCGATATCAAATTAGGTGGACGCGCTTACTATTCGACTTTGTTGAATTTAATTCTATCGCAATTGACAAAAATGACGTTAAGGTTCAGCTCTTTCAAAGAACGTCGTGTAATGTAATTTAAACTTAGATTTTTTGCCAGTAATTCACGGAGTCACAAATGTGTGACGTTAGTTTTTATTTGTTTTGTTTTTTTTTGTTGGACTCGTAGAAAGTTCCTCAACGAATAAAAAAACAATGTTGAGAGATCGCGCATACGTATCTATATATAGTGTCCTTCTTTCGTGTATTTCGAGTATCTTTCAGAGTTTTCGCAAATTCACTTTGCCCGTCGTCTCGCGAGAAAGTAATGTGTTGGTGAACCGAACAATTTATCGTTATTTGTACATCGTCGACACTCGATCTCGTTTACCAGGAACTGTTCGAAAGCGTCGATTTATATTAATTTGACATTCTCGCTGTAAACCCGATATCCAGAGTAGGGATACTAGTAGCATGGTGTAATAAAATTCGATACAAAACATTATAAGTAAACTTACAACAAAGTAAATAAAAGTAAAACAAAAATTTTAAAGAAGATCGATTTGCGGAAAATCGCGTGAAATATCTCGTCGATTTATCACATTTGTCTCAATTCTTTTTATTTGTCTTAACAAATTCAGAACAATTATTTGCAAAAAACAAAGAGAAAGAGGGAGAGAAAAACCATTCATCTTTCCCATATCAGCAGAACCATTTATCTTCGATATCGGGTAACCGATACAAGACTTTTCTCTTTCTCGCGAAGAAAAAACACGTAACGTTTCTAAGCGGCAGTTATAACGAACCTTGCGAGAGAGAAAGAAGAGTTATTGTTGCGTAAGATGCACCGGCACGAGTTTCGCAAAACTTTATCGAAACGGTACTTAGAACTGTTTTCAGTGCCCGCTTAAAGATGCGGAACGTTCTGCGAAGTCTAGGCAAAATGATATTCATGACGCGGTGCGAGATTTATTCAAATTTTCTGCATTTTTGTATCTCTCTCACTCGCTCTCTTACTTTCTATTTCTCATCTTTTCGTCTCTTTCTCTCTCTCTCACTCTCGGAACTTTTCCTCTACCGTGAGAACGTATGCCGGAACACAAAGGATTTCTTCTTTACGTAGGCGAGAAAAAGGGCGCGGAACCTGCCGACTGAGAGTCAGTCGCCAGACGAAGATAAGCGGGCGACCATAAAGGAGATAAAGATTGTTTGTTTGGTCTCACCGACCAACGAGCTGCCGTGGGACAACGCATTCACTTCTTCTTTCTTTTTTCTTTCTTTTTTTTTTTTTTTTTACTCTCTCGCTTTCTCTCTCCTCGTTCTACTAAGGTCGATTCTCGAGCCTCCTCCTCCTCCTCCTCCTCTTCCTGTTTCTTCTGTGCTTCTCATCCGGACGAACGACCGCAAGGTTCCGGCGAAACGGAAGTAACACATTCGCCGGATGCCGTGTGTGCATCTGGCTGATCAAAGAACGTGTTCCAGTTTTCGGAATCCGTGCAATTCGATTTTGTCAGGAAAAAAAAAAAATACGAATTAGGTAACACACAAAGCTGTGTAAAAAAAGTCGTAAAAAATTAAATTCAATATTTACGACTCAGCTTCTCGTCACCGTTATTTTTGTCAAACTGTATTTTCTCACATGCAATTTTCGTGTTTGTTCTCCACGGAATTTATCGTTGTGAACGTTTTTCCATTAGCGTGACGCAAATTGTGTATTATTTGTTTTTTACACACGTTACATAAATTATTATAATTAGTTTTATAGATCTGTATATAAAAAAGAGAACAGAAAGCAAAACGCGTATTAAAAGCTCTCGCGTTTGTTGTGTTTGTCGTGTGTGTGTGTGTGTGTGTGTGTGTTTTGTCTCGTAATAAATAAATTTTACTTCGGCATTTGATGTGCGGCACGAGCTGTCAAGTGGAATAACCACAATTGCATTAAGGTAATTTGAAAAGAGAAGAGAGAAAGAAAGGGAGAGAAAAAGGAAATGAATAAAGAGAGAAAAGACAGAAATAACAGAGAGAGAAATTTGGAAATTTTGTTATGTGTGTACGACATGTACGAACAGAGAACGTATTCGCGTTTCTCGCGAATGGTACCTACTCGTATAGCTATGTGGATTCAATTTTTATGTCACAAAAGAATCGCGACAAAAGGGATCGACACG